AAAATCCACAGTCTTTTGTAAGTAAACTCGACAAAATTTTCCGGTCGGAGATCCCACTTTCGAGATTTCTGGGACTGCGAGCAGCGGATCGATGCCCACGGCCATCTGGCCCTCGAGAACGGCACGCGTTACACCGAGTCACCATGTGTGCTCCATCGAGCGTGTACGAAATCGGAAGCCGACGTGGAACGGTTCGACGAAGGAAGAGGAGCTCAAGGACGTCGGACGTCCTTTAATAAAGAGCAGGGTCGAACGGCACTCCTTGTACGCGGCCGTGACTCCGCGCGTCGCGTTTTATCCGAGGCTCTTTTTGGGTCAAGTCCAGGCGTGATTAAAGTTCGTCCGCGGGACAGGCTATCGGGTCCCCCGTTTAATTAACGGAACACCGAAAAAGGCGGCCGTGGAACGGCGAAAGCTTTCGACTGTTCCGATCCGGCACGTTACAAAACAGCCGGTCTCATTTGCTTAATGAAATGACAAGTTTGTTTGCCGGTGATCCGACGTTCGCCGGCTGAAAGCGAGCCGGCCGGCTCTCCCTCGTTCGACGGCAGCTTTAATTTTCGGGATGAAAGCAGCCGTTGTCTCCGATTCGCGGACTTTTTGTCCAGTTTTCGCCGAGTTTCCCCGGGAAAATTAAGACTGCGCGGATCGCCGGCAGATTGAAACATTCGAGGCCGGAGTTTCCCGCTGAAATCGTCGCCGAAAGATTGCAAAAGCTGTTGCGCGCGGAATGCATATGCTGCCTACACCGGCCGCCTTTTCTCGCTTTCGTTCGTGATGCAACGGAAATCCGCGCAATCCTGTGCGACGCATCGGGAAAATTGAAGAAAATAAGCTGCTACGTCTTGCGACGCTCGCGAAGAAACATTTGTCCAGAACGTCGAGTGCGGTTGCGTTGTGTAAACCGGGCTGGAAAATAATTATTTGTGCACAGGTACGTTCAGTGTCGATATTCATAAATTGGATAAGCCAAGCTTCATGCAACTTAACGGTAACAAGGTACACTAATTTAGAGACGAATGAACTATATTTAAATAAAACATGCAGCATCGTTCGTCACTGTACCAGCAAACGATATTTCCCATTTTGCTTCATTTTCTGTAAATGTTATGTGCCAGGTTCGATTTGAATTTAAATTAATATGTGTTAGGGTGAACAATATTTTCTGCAAGGAAATATGTGTTACATAATTGAAGGGTTAAAATCGTTGCACTAAATTCTGCGATAACTTGTTCGGATAACTTGTTTAATCAATCTTGTTGCGCTTTGATATAATTTTTCTGTTGCTTCATAAGCGATAGACGTCCATATTAACCTTTACTGTACACCAATGAAATTTTGTTGCAAGAGAAAACATTTCTCGCGAGCTCTTTTCGTCGATCCTTTTTTATATGTAAGTTACAATTTTAAATAATTTTAAATAATTTTATATTTTAAGGAGAACACTGTTACAATTTTAAGAAAAATACTGTTACGATTTTAAGATAAACACTGTTACAATTTTAAGAAAAGCATGATTACAATTTTAAAAAAGCACAATTACAATTTTAAGAAAAGCACAATTACAATTTTTAAAAAAGCACAATTATAATTTTAAGAAAAGCACAATTACAATTTTAAGAAAAGCACAATAAGAATTTAAAAAACGACGCATCTACAACTTAAAAAAAAGACACTGTAATTTTCATAAAATCCTCGTTCTCTCTTATTTTCGAACGTCTGAAGAATGCCCAATAATTTGCCGACCAAAAATAATAGATACCTTAAACGTGACTAGCCGTTTGAAATTGTTGCGGTGTGGGTGTCGCACCCCTTCCGTGCTCCGCGGAATTTTTATGCGACGCGTACAGCAAAGGTTAAGGACGTAGAAAGTGTCGGATGATCGTTTTGAAAATGTCTGTGACCAGAATCGATAATCATTCCCCCGGACAAACAGCTTTTTCAGTAGCGAGTAACACATTCGCTGTGTGCTTAACAAAGATGTCGGTCAGAAGGCCGCTCGAAGCGGCTTGAAGAAAGTCGCCATAATTGTCCGGGCAACTATACGGCTCCTTTCCCCGTCGTCCGCTCTGTTTGTCAAACATGGAAACGCACTCGGGTACGTTGGTTCGGTATCGAGCCAGGCCGGCGAAAAAGCACGTACAAGCGAAAGGCGGCTTTCTGCAGTCCGGGATACCGTAGACAACGCCGCGGTGCGAGCGATGCCCGCCACTTCCGGTGGATCCTTTGTTAATTGCGGATGGCACTTGACCTTGTTCCTGCTTGGAGCACGTGGCTCGAGTTACTCGGAAAAAGTGATCCCTGTGTTAAACACGCCGACCGAGGACGGTTTAATTAGCGAGCCGGCGAGTGTCTTCCGACTCGGAATATATCTCGTCGCACTTTTCCTCTTAAATTCGCGGTTCGCGCGGTGCTCCCTCAAAGGCACCGCCTATCCTCGCCAATTTAGAATTTAGAATGAACTTTAGAATGAATTTTTATTTGAAACCAGCTTCAAAAACAGTTTGTTTTAGACAGCGCCTCGGCATTTGTGCACTTAAAACGATTACAAAAAAATGGCTTGTTTCAGGGAGCGCCTAGTAATTGTTCTATTTGAAACGATCCCAAAAAGTAGTTTATTTTAGGAAGGTCCTCCCCATTTTTTGACTTGGAACGATTGCGACAAACGCATTATTTCAGCCATCTAATTAAGAGTTCAACAATTAAATCATTTATACGTATACAAATTCCAATTTATATTAAAAATTTGTTACAATCCACATCACTTCTATCTAAAATCAACGAATTTAAGTTTCTATTAAAAGTCTATTACAATTTAAATATCTGTTCAAATTTTTATACTGTTCTACTATAATCTAAATACTCACAAAAATCTTTTACAACGTCAATTCCTAATAGAAATCCATTACAATTAAATTTCATATTAAAAATTTATTACAATTGACGTCACTCGCGCTTAAAAGGCAGCGCTAAAAAATTGGAGAACCTCCAAAATACTGCAAGCTAGAAAAATCTGCGCAGCCGTTGCGTTGTTGGCGGGAAACAATGCAACCTTCGGCCAGTTCATTTGTTCTGTATACTTATCATTTGCGAGAAAAAACGTCGGCTAACGAGTCCGTGAACACCGGCACATTCTAAATATTTGATTACGAGTTCCGTCGTAACGAACCGTCGGCGGCGTATTGTTCCGTTTCGAAGCCGAAAATGATTCGTTCCGAATTAACAAAGTTCGCAGTTCCGCGGGTCCGCTTACTGCCGTTTAAAGGCGCGCACGGCACGCTGACAAACGGCTGACATTCTATTTCTCAACGTCAGCCGGGAATCGCGGATATAATTTAATCGCGCAACGACAATCCGGCGGAAAACGTCTTGCCAGGTAGAGAAGATGGAAATAGATCCGAAAATTCGAGTTCCGTGCCAGTTTCGAGACTTTAATAGGATTACAAGGAGCCGTCCGCGAAGTTCGAATATGAAACGCTTTGGCGATCGAAGGCTGTCGACAGGAACGGTCCGTGCCCGCACATAAATTATTCCGCCGTCCGTTAAAAATCACGCCGAACGGTGGTAGCGCTCCCCAAAAAGTTGGCCACGTTTCATAATTTTGATACGATTTTTATGGAAATCGGTGTTCTTACGTTCTCGGGACAGACTGCGAATTTCATGTATTTATGACAAAAATTAAGTCGGAAACAAAATTGCGAAAACAATTTTTATATTATTTACAACCTCTATTGATATTATTAAAAGGGAAATAAAAGTTTCATCGGGCTTATGTCTCTTGCAATTAACTTAACTTGTATCTCTTGCAATTCCTTCAGAAATGGGGAATTCTAAGTAAAAATAACAATTGTCTGCGTCAATGATAAACAATAGAAACTAAACAACATATTCAATCTTTCTTTAATTGTTCTAAGAGATTAAAAATGATTAATATTTTAAAACTTTCTTTCAATCCTTCTACTATCTTAAATTTCAGCTACCATAATTTCGCCATAAATGCATAGAATCCGCAGCCCGATTATTGTAGTCGAAAATTCGAATCATTATAACTACGAAGCGAGAGAATTGGTCAACTTTGACTGCCTATAACTCGGTAACAATGCGAGATTTAAAAAAATTTCAAACAACACTTGATGAATCGAAATGGTACACGATATACATATGTGCTGCGCCGGTTTTCCGCCACAAAAGCTGCATTTCAGCCAACTTTTTGGGAAAAAGAACGGCGCGCCGTGTTCCAGAAACTGGAACAAACGTGTCGATGAAACGGATTCGAACGTGTTCCCTCGTTTCTACAAATAACCAATTAACGACGGAGCTCCGAAATGATCGATGCACGTTCGCGGCACCGAATACGTATTCTCCATCGTCGAGGCCCATCAGCGATGTCGAAGTTTCTATTTTAATACACTGAAAAAGATTCATGCTGCAAGCGGCAAAAGCATTATTAATTAAGGATTGCAAAACGCTCGGCTTCTATCGCGGCTTTAATTAAAACAAAGAAATGAAAAACCGGTCGCGCGGCTCGCGATAGGAACGGAGAGAAAAAACACGGGAAAAAATGCCGAATAATATAAACGGAACAATATTTGTCGGTTGTCGGCGGTGGATTTAATTAAAAACTTTGGGGTGGGGAAAAAAAACAGCGAGCGCAGACACGCGTAACGAATTTAAAAAAAGAAAAAAAAAGCCCGAACGGAAAGAGATCGGCCGCGCATCGATATATGCGTGTATCCAGCGTTTGCGGCGCTTTTGTAATTAGAGTACAAAGAACAAAACGGAACCGGTTCGGCGAACATTTTTTTTTTTTGCCGCGACTAGTCGCCGGAGCAGCCGATGCAATCGCTAACGCGAACGTGCCAGTAAATCGTTAATTTGCTGTTTCCGGATGCTTCATACGTAAAAAAGAAAGAAGAAAAGTAGAACAAGTAAACAAACGAAACTGTAAAAATGGTGGATAGATAAATAAGAAGTTCCATTGAAAGTTGTCAATAACTCACCCGTACAATATATCAGGAATGTATGAACTGAAAAAAAGTAATTAAACGAAGTTGTAAATCTGGTAGTCAAGGGCAGAGAAATCGGAAGAGAGAAAAACATGTGTGTTCGTATCCTATGTGAAGTGTGGCGTGGTAAGAGACAAATAAAGAAAATAGAAAACAAATCAAGAATGGTGTGCAAAAGTGGAAGGGGTGTCCTGTTCGGTGTTTGTGTTCAATGTTGATGAGTATAACGCCCCCGAAAATCGAACAGAAAATCGTTCACTCTCCATCCATGTTCGAGCAGCTTTTACATGTACCACATACACACGGCTTGATATTCGAGCTTTTTCTTCACAATTGAAACGTCTTCGTTTGTTTCTACACGAGATTCTGACCTACATTTTTCTAATGGAGACGTGGAGGCGTGATATCAGATAAGAATAGCAATATTCAACTTCTACACTGTCGTCCGGAAAATTCTCAGTGGGTGAGAGCAGCGCATTAGTACGATTAGGTTGCGGATTTTCTATATTCGTGAGAAAAAGTAATGATAGTAGAAATTTGAGACACTAGATTTTTCTGAGACACTAGAATTATTTTTATTCTAGCATAATTCTTAAATAAAGAAAGAAATTCCAAAGTTGGTGATATAATTGCAATAGATGCATTTTTATTGGCATAAACATCCGCAGTCTAATTATGATTAGTATGCAAATTATTAGATCACGTGGAGTTAACTGGCACAGTTAACATTGCAACGGTCACACGAAAGTGAAACCAAACGGAAATTATTCATGTTAATTTGCATAAACGATAAATCGTGTGTTAAATTATTGTGCATAGCGTTTCATTGAATACAGTTTCTTTGGTTAATAAAATGGTTATGTCAACAGATTGTTCAAATCGAATTATACTTTCCTGATTGCTCGATTCATTAAGCTAAAAATGGAGTAAGAAATTCACAGAATATTCGAAGAATTTGATTGGTTGTTGAAATGAATCGCGGCTTGCCAATGTATTATAATTAGCATATATTATAATTATATATTATATTATATTATATATTAGAATATATTATAATTACAAGGTTCGCCAGTTTTTAATTTACTTTTAACACACTATGTGCACCATTTAGTTGCGTAAACGTTGCTCCATAAATTGTGTGCTTCATTTACTCTCTGTCACGAGTGTCATAAACAAAATAAATATTCCAGTAAACTTTTGTTCATTAGATATCATCAAGATTGCCTATTAAATAATTATAAGAAGGTTCAGATAAAAGATTAAAGAGCAAAACGTATCCGAAAACTTATCCGAATAAAGTTGAATAATACCGATCTCTGCTGTGCATAAATTAAAATGCTATAAATATCATCGTAGCCGATATTCTAGAAAACTCGGTGTTCATAAAAATCCGATAAAGTTTCGATACTTTAACAAATCCCTATCCACGGGTTTCTCTTTTTGACGAAAAATGAGTTCAGGAAAACTGTCCTGTAACAGTAAAGGGAGAAGGTTTACGAGTCTCTCTCTCTCTCTCTCTCGTTCTCTCAGTTCGAAAAATATAGTCTTCCATCGGGGCGGAATGTTTCACGATCGTGGACTCGTGAATACAGGAATTTTCCGGTCGAAGGGTCCCGGAATAAAAGACTCTCTTTCATGGTCATCGATGTCGTAAGTACCGGGTCTGTTGATCCGGAATGGTGGCCCGGATCCCATAAAATCACGGCCGTGACCTCGCACGAGATTAGGGGATCGGGTTTCCACGTCTTTCTCAGCGTTCGCCTTCGAAGGGGGAGATCTTTCTGCGTGCTTGACCTGGGCCAACTGATATCCGTTGCCAGTGGAACGCCCAAACAGTAATATGACGTTTCGCAACGAAATCTTCTAGCGTATTCCGTCGAGGGTCGGGGCCAATTTGTTTCAATAAGACTACAGAGAATATGGCAGACGATATTAGGTTTCAAAAAGAATGATTGCGGTCGCAGCATAATCCTATTTCAAAGCTTCGAGGATGAATGTTGATATAGCGATGTCGAGATTGTACAATTTGCTCCGGAAGTTGCACATTTCTTTTTCGATCATAAGTGGACCACGGATTTTATGCATTCATAATAAAAATGATTAGTTGAAACTTTGGAACAATGAGAATATTGAAAGAATTTAAAGACATCTATGTATTGTTTTTAACTAACTGAAATTATTTAAGGAAGAAAGAAATTTCTATTTGACCCACGTTTGTTGCAATAGATGAAGATCGTTTTTATTTTGTATAAATTTCGTAGTCTAATTATAAGTATTTTAACGTTAGTTTTAAAATCATCTTACTTATACTAATATTTCATTTCCAACATTATTTACCAAGCTATCAGATTAATTTCGATGCCAACTTGGCAGTCGAGTTGGAAATATGAGAAACGAAAGACGAATAAACAATAAATCTTCGTTGAAAAGGATACTTTTTTACTTGATCGTAAAACGGAATCAAACACGAATTATTCACTGCTACGAAACAATTGCAAGTAGACTGTAGAGATATTTGTGCAAAAAAGATCTCCGCATCGATATCAATAAATAAAAATTATTTCTTCTTCGACTGATAAATTCTTGTAATATTTTCATTGCTTTATATTTCATTGGTTCATTTGTACCGTATAAAACTCGCAGCGCGACCATTAGAAACTCACCAAAAACGGGGTAGCTTTGCGGAAATTTCGGACAGTGTACGACCAACGAGGAAATCGCCGGGTTTTCCGGCGGCGGATACGTTTCAAGAATAAATTGCGGCATCGATCGACATCGATTTGCGGATTGTCGAGACCCCCCGCGCGGATACACGTATTTTCCACGACTATCGAGTAGAATTAGACGAAATGTCGGTGGCGCTAACGTTTAATGGCCGTGGTCGACCGCACGCGCTGTAATTTGCATCCTGTCGTTTTCTCCAGCCGGCTTGTCGCTCTCTGTTCACCGGGTGTCCCCGATTCCCGTCTCTCTCCCGCACGCGGCCGATCGTCCGTCACAATTACGTTGCCATTTCGCCGGCCGACACGTACCCGACTTCCCCTTTTTCCCCACGTTTTTAATGTCCCCGTGATTCTACTCTATGAATCAGACACGGCTAGTAAACACCACCTTGTTAGCTCTGTTACTGGGAAGTATTTTGTTCCCGCGGTGGGAAACTATACTTATTCAACCCGATGAACTATACGTCATCTACGCCGTGAAAGAGGATTTCCCGGTTTTACATGATTGACGTTGACACTTTGACTTGCTTTCTTCTCTGATTCACCTATTTACCGAGTCAATGGTTTAGCACCTCTGGACTTAGTAGACTTATGCGAGAATTATTGTTTGCGTTCGAGACGTGAAATCGTTGCTTTTCCCACCCACACGTCTTAGTTTGACGAAGTAGGAAAATATTGAAGTTTGACAGAATATTACGAGATTGAAGTTCGATGAAGTATTATGAAGATAAAGTTCGACAAGATATTATGATTATTATAATTTAACCTATTTACCGAGTCAATGGTTTAGCATCTCTGAGCATGGTGGACTTATGCGAGAATTATTATTTGCGTTTGAGATGTGAAATCGTTGCTTTTCCAACCCATAGGTCGTAATTTGACGAAGCAGGAAAATATTGAAGTTTGACAAAATATTACAAGATTAAAGTTCGATGAAATATTACAAAGTTAAAGTTTGACAAGGTATTACAAAATAAAAGTTTGACAAAAAAGTATTACAAAGATAAATTTTGTCCAAAAAGTATTACAAAGATTAACTTTGACGAAGTATAACAAAGACAAAGTTTGAGAAAGTAAGACAAAGATAAAGTTCGGAAAGATATTACGAAATTAAAGTTTGAGAAAAAGGTATTACAAAGATAAACTTTGACAAGAAAGTATTGCAAAGATAAGCTGCAACAAAATATTACAAAATTAAAGTTTGACAAACTACTATAAAGACAAAGTTTGACGAAGTATAACAAAGACAAAGTTTGACGAAGTATAACAAAGATAAACTTCGACAAGATATTATGAAATTAAAGTAACACAAAAATGTATTACAAAGATAAGCTTTGACAAGAAAATATTACAAAGATAAACTTTGACAAAGTATTACAAAACTAATGTTTGGCAAACTATGACAAAGTTTGACAAAAATTACAAAGATAAATTTTGACGAAGCACCAAAAAAATTGAGAAAGCATCACAAAATTAAAGTTTGACAATCTCGTGCAAACTGAAAGTTCGACAAATTACTCAAAAATTAACGTTCCAATTGAAATTCGACCTAAATTCCAAAACAGGCTAGGCCAAGTAAATCGAAGCAGACGAGATCAGCTGAACGGGGTCAATAGTTCCGCAGGTAAAAAGTCATAATTGCAGTTTCCACGAGAAATGTTCACGACGACAGCGAAATCGGCGTGGCCGCAGCAGGGTTAATGCATTTTCTTAATATGGCGCAGTGCTATCCATCTCTTCTGGACCTCAGAAGGCGAACTGAAACGTTTGAAAATCTGACTTACGTCCCCTTTGGCTCTCAGCCACAGATATTTCCCGAAGCAACGTGTCCACTTGAGAGTTCCACGTCGAGAGTTGCCGGGACATGGACTCGAGGGACATTCTCCAACAGTTTACTCTTCAATTACCGTCGCATCCACTCGCGGGAGGTGAAACTTGCTGCGCTTGTAAGTTGCTTAACGTACAGATTAAAACCGCCTTCAATTAGGTAAACAGCACGTTACACACGGCGACGTTCCCATTGATTTTTTTCGCCTGATTTATTGGCCGTTCCGGCGAGCGGAACGCAAATAGAGTTTCAGCCATTAATACGCCCCGAATGAACCCGAGTGATCAAAGAGAAACGGTGAAACAACAATTAGGATCGCCGGCCGCGTCGACGTCGATTCTCTCTTTATTTTCTTATCGGATTAGTTCTGCTATATAATTTATACAAACTGCGCTTTAAAGCACGCACCGTTCGAGCGACCAATCATCTCGTTTCGAATACGCGATTACCAGGCGAAACCGCGCCGCAGA